CAGAGCCGCCTTCTCCACCCCCCAGGAATGGTGTGAGCTTTGAAACTTCAAACATACGAGCCTGTACTCATTCACACCGCCACAGCCACCTTGCTGATATAGTGAGAACATATCTCAAAAACATTCCCAACCCTCATGACAACCAAGGGAAGCCCAACCCACCAAATCTTCCCAAACATGACCACCAAACTCACTGTTAGAAAAACCCGGATCTATTGTCCTCACATCCTCCTAAGTGTCTGACTCCCACCAAACCACACGAGAGAAAGCATCACAGAAGTGGCCTGAGGATGGATGTGATGGACGGAGAATATTGTGTGAGCCTAGAGAGAGATGGGGGCCAGGGCCAGATCCACCACTGACTGTGACTGGTCATTAGGAGCTGCCTCTCCAGGCCTGTTTCTCTAAACAGTGTTTTCACTGCAGCAGCAAGTGTTGATGGCTGGAGAATTGTGTGATTTCAGCTGAGGTGAAAAGGTTGTGCTGTCCCCCAGGCAACCATTTAGCCAGCACAGAATCCTCCTCAGCGCTGTGTCTCTCCCTCTAGATGCTGCGCATTTTTATCAGGGCTTCATGTAGGCGTGGAGGAGCAATAAATATCCAAAAATATAGAAAAGGTACAGAACTCAATAGCAAAGGAAACCCACAGATATCCCTGTTTGCAAATGGACTAACGACCTGTGTAGGCATTGTTAGAAAGGAGATGTCCAAATGGCCCCAGATATAGACAAAGGTGCTTGGCAATAATAATCGTCTGGAGAATGTGAATCAAATTCACAGGGAGAGGTCATCTCACCTTTTTGTATTGGGCTTACTACGGGAGTGAGTGTCAACAAGGAGCAACATTACCCCTTGCCCAGAACCAACGTGCCTCTTTTTTTTGTTTTTTGTTTTTCAAGACAGGGTTTCTCTGTGTAACTTTGAGCCTTTCCTGGAGCTCACTTGGTAGCCCAGGCTGGCCTCGAACTCACAGAGATTGCCTGGCTCTGCCTCCCGAGTGCTGGGATTAAAGGCGTGTGCCACCAACACCTGGCTCCACCATGCCTCTTAACTGTACCTGCACTGGCAGTATAGACGACAGACCTCAGACCAGTCACTCCAAGCAGTGTCTGTATTGCCACGATGACTGAAGCATTACCTACAGTACCTGATCCAGGAATATAATCTAAATGTCTGCTCGTGCATAAATAGATCTGGAATAAACCTGCATCCGAGGGCAAACCCTACAATTACAGGCACTTGGGAGGCTAAGCCAGAAGGATAACAAGTTGATGACTTCCCTGGGCTACAGAAAGAGCTGAAACACAAATGGTGTGCAAATTAGTGAGATACAGTTACACTTCTTTCAGCTTGAAAATGGTCTGGGAATAGAGCCAACTGAGAGAGCATTTACTTAGCAAGTGTAAAGACTGACGTTCAGTCCACAGCATCTGTAAAAAACACTCCTCTCTATGTGCATAGACATATGTACACAGAAAATGAAACATCATTTTGCCTCAGACAGACAGAAATCTTGGCAGGTCTAAGAGTTGACTGTTGTTTACAACAACATGGGAACAGCAAAACAAAAGAATGTGTTACCTGCTTTCACAAGAGAAAGAATGCATACAGAAGTGGGTGCCAGCAAAGTGGGGGTGGGGTAGGGATGGCGAGTGGGAAGGTGCCCATATAAATGACAGCCTAAGGGCACAAGCTTATTTTTTATTATAAGACTATAATGTATTCCTTGGTGATCCTGCTTTGTTAGCATGTATAGTTATACATTGTCTGTGTGCTGTATGTGATGTGTGAAGTAGATCATAAGGTTGTGTTAGCTGTATAGAACTTATTTACCCACATCAACACTGTCTATTTTGGTTCCTATATGATACAAAATTATAAATTTAAATCTCTATCAAACACATATGTTCTGCACATATGTGTTTAAGACTTCACGGCGTACTGGAAATGTGCGTGGTGGAAGATCTTAAATGCTTTTACCACAGAAGAAGAATGTGACTCTGCGGGGTGAGTGATGTGCTATTTAGCTTGATAATAGTAGGCAGTCATTTCACACTGTGTCACATACTCAATGCATACAATTTTATTTTGAGTTTTCCTTTAGAAAGCTAGGGGGAACATATCCACACAGCTGTGGGAACCCCTGGACAAACTCCTCAAGTGCTGGGCCCTAAGAAGAGCCCACACTTGCACTGGGCCATGTTCTGGATCCCAGGCCAGGAGAACAGCAGTTATTGGTGAGAGTACAGGGAGTCACTTGTGAGTGGGAGTGGGAGGGGCAGAGGAAAGTGTCTTCTGTGGAGCCATGACGCTGTGGCTCTGTAGACTGGGAGGCAGGAGACAGGGCCGCCAAAGCCTAGCATACAACAGTGGTTCCCAACCTTCCTCATGCTGCAAACTTTTAATACAGTTCCTTGTGTTGTGGTGACCCCAACATAAAATTATTCTGTTGCCACTTCATAACTCTAATTTTACTACTCTTATGAATCGTAAATACGTGACATGTAGAATATCTGAAATGCAACCACAAAGGAATCACGACCCACAGGTTGAGAATTGCTGGCCTAGAAGGACTGTGATAGGTGATTGTAGCAAGAGTTGAGATCAGCAGCAGAGTACATCCTTTGGAAAACAAAATGTAGTCCTGAAAATACCAGTGAGCACCTTGTGGGCAGTGGGCTGGTAGTTCTATGGCTATGGTTACCGTCATCTTGGAAGGTGTTGTTCAGAATGGGTCTTCTGGAAAGAGGAGCTGATGTGAAGGGTCCTCATGGCTCAGTCCAGTGGCCGTTCTCCACCTCTGCTTCTGGATTTCTAGTGCAGCTACTGAGTGGAACCAAATTTCACCAAATATTTCAACAGACATTCATTGTTTAATCTCACACACACACACACACACACACACACACACACACACACACACACACACACATACACAGGGACATGCAGGAGTTTACAAACTAAGAAGGCATAACCACTGGGCAGACTGCCTTTCTCCTGGGAGTTGAAACTTCTAAGCCCTGCATGTGAGGTTGGACTAGGAACAGGGAAGTGATGACATGGAACTCACCTTCCCAGCTGAGCTCGGGCCTGTGTTAGTTACTTTTTTGTCAACTTGACACAAGCTAGGGTCATCTGGGAAGAGGAAACCTCAGTGGAGGAAATCCTTCCATCAGAGTGGTGTGCATGTTTTGTTGATGATAGATTGATGGCGGAGGACCCAGCCCACTGGGGTGGTGCCGTCCCTGGGCAGGTGGCCCTGTGTTCTAGAAGAAAGTAGGCTGAGAAGACCCAGCCCACTGGGGTGGTGCCGTCCCTGGGCAGGTGGCCCTGTGTTCTAGAAGACAGTAGGCTGAGAAGGCCATGAGAGCTAGGCAGTAAGCAACATTTCTTTCTGCCTCTGCGTCACTTCCTGCCTTGAGTTCCTGTCTGTCTTCAACAATTATAGGACCCTAAGCTGTGGGATGAAACAGGCCCTGTCTCCCCAGCTTGCTCTAGGTCCGTGGTGTTAATAGCACAGGGACCAAGTCAGTAGACAGAGGCCTGGTGGGGAGGGATGATGCTCAGGCCCTCAGACATGCCACAGAAAGATCGTGTCGAAGTCATTGATCACACTGGGATTAGCTACTTGGAGACGGTTAATCTTCACTGTCCGTCTGACTGGATTTGGAATCCACTGGGAGACATATCTCCAGGGCGTCTAGGAGGAAGTTTCCAGAAACAATTACCCCAGGAGAGAAGGGCTGGCCTTGAGTGTGGACAGGTGTCGTTACATGGACTGGGTTCCAGGGTTGAATAACAATGAAAAT